TTTCCTTTTTTTTTTTTTTAATTTATTTATTTGTGCATACAGGCCAGAGGCTGAGGGGTGGCGAGAGGCTTCACCAGAGACAGAGTGAGGAACAGAACAGGCAGATCGGCAGATCCATGAAGTACACTGCTGAAGGGAGCAGCGGGCGTGTCAGGAGAGGTCTGCAGCACCATGTGGTCACCTCAGGGGCAGGTGGGAATTGAATTCATGCGGAAGCGCTTTAGCTTCTTAGTGTAGTGCTTTAACCCGCTGCGCCACCAGGTAGGGCCCGTAAGCTTTCCTTTTTAAATAAGACTTAAATGCCGAGCATCTAGTGTGGTTTATTACTTTGAAACTTTCTGTGTGGTAGATAGTCTTGTTTCTTTCATGATGTTAGAGAGATGGAATTAAAAGCTCAAGACCACAAATACACCTTTCACTAGAATTTCTTTTATAAAATTGAGGGGATCCCTCTAATATGTGTTTGAAGTAATTCTGTTACCAACCCTCCCCCCTCTCTCCCCCTTCCCTCGGGCGCCTAGAATCCTTCAAGGAATTGTGTAGGGTGGTCTGTAAGGGCAATAAGGAGTTAGCTACACATCTGAGACTATCCCCATCCCAATGGTGACCCAACTTCAGAGACCAGGCCAGCTCAGTGGCTCACAATTCTGTCAGCATGATTTATAACAGTGAGTGGAGAGAAACAGAAGCACAATCCAGCGTCTTCTTTTATTTTAAAATGCAATTCTGTCCTTTTCTGAAGAAAGCAAGTCAAACCTATTGCAGTTGCAGCACAACCCTCTGGACGAGCTTTGTCAGAGTGAGTCACTTCAGTTGGAGTGAGAGTGGGAGAAGCACACATTTCCCAGGAAACCATTAGGTCAGGTCCTTCTCTGAACTCAGGTGGAAAGGTTTCTTCATGGAAAGGAGACATGGTTCCAAACAGAGAAGCAAGTCCGTTTTTTTTTATAGCAGCGATGGCAAAATCCTCTTTGCTCTGAAAAACAGAAGAAAAACGACACTGAAAACTGGATGTTCTCACACAGATCTTCAGCCAGCAGCAGGATCCTTGACCATCCCGTCTTCTGCCTGCTTCCTCAGCCTTCGCAACCCCGACCCCAGTTCACCCGAACGCGTGCGTGGAGACGCACCGGGTTCTCAGTCCCCAGGCGGCGGGACGCTCCTGTACCCGCTAAATAGCTAACAGATGCCCGGCACGCCACAGACCTCACCGACTAGGCAGCGTCTGGGAAACAGTTCCAGCAGGCGGTTTCCGGGTAGAAAGGCTGGCCTCTGGACCCCCCTTGCTCTCTGCTTGAAACCCGCAGGTTTTGAAAGCTGCAGGTCCCGTTTTCTCCCGGAGGGGTGCGAGCGCCAGGCCCAGCAATGAACACCCGCAGCTGTGCCGCTCAGGGTGGCTTCCCTGCCGACCCCTGCTGGAGGGAAAGCATCTCCATCAGCGGGGCCACCGACGCCACGAGCCCAGGCTTCTGTCCCTCGCCTCCACCCCCGCCCCTCCTCCTCCAGCCCCCCTAGCCAAGCTCCAAGCGCCAAGCTCCAAAATGACTTCGGGCCTTATTTCCACCCTCGCAGTTGGTCGCGTGGGTTCCAAATTTACTAAAGCAAGTTTAGGACCAGAGATTTGGCTCGGAAGTGAGCTCTGATGGCGAGGCTGTCCCTCGCAGGGTCATTTAAGGGCGCGTCCCCAGTTCCTCAAGCCTCCATCGCACCCCCTAGCGCGCGAAGTCCGGGTGGTGTCCGCAGGTGCGTTCCCAGCGGCTCATCCCTGCAAGCAAATGGCGAGGGGGCGCAGTACCTGTCCCTTTCTGCAAACTCTGAGCCGGGCATCCGACACGCTCCAGGAATCCAAATATCCCGGGCGGAGGTGTCCAGATTCGAGTTTGGTCCAATCTTTGCGTACCTCTGCGGCGAGGTCTTTCCCTTCCTAAGGGATGGGGCGCTTCGCCTCCGGGCGGCGGGTGGGCCTCTCTAGCCTCCAGCGGGGGC